AAAAAACTCCAGTTTGCAGCGTTTTTACAGTGTTAAAAACGTGTGCATGGGCTCATAGGATAACATGCTGGGGAGTTTACTGGCTGTAGAGGAGTGGGGAGATGAGGGGAGCAGTGGGAGAGGAGGAGGGGGAGGAGGGGAGGAGTGGGGAGAGGAGGAAAGGGGAGAGGAGGGGAGGAGTGGGGAGGGGAGGAAAGGGGAGAGGAGGGGAGGGGTGGGGGAGGGGAGGGGGAGTGGGGAGGGGTGGGGAGGAGGAGGAAAGGGGAGAGGAGGGGGGGGGGGGGGAGAGGAGGAAGAGGGAGAGGAGGGGAGGGGAGAGGTGGGGAGGGGAGGGGAGGGAGGGGAGGGAGGGGAGGGAGAGGAGGAGAGGAGAGGAGAGGAGAAGAGGGGAGGGGAAGGGGGGAGAGAGGAAGAGGGGAGGGGAGGGGAGAGAGGAGAGGGGAAAGGGGAGAGTGGGGAGGGGGGAGGGGAGGGGGGGAGGAGGAGGGGAGAGGGGGGAGGGGGAAGGGAGGGGAGGGGGAGGGGAGGAGGAGGGGAGGGGGAGGAGGGGGGAGAGGAGGGGAGGGGAGAGGAGGGGGAGGTGGGGGGGGAGGGGAGGGGGGAGGGGAGGGGAGGGGAGGGGGGAGGGGAGGGGAGGGGGGGAGGGGGGGGGAGGAGGGGAGGGGAGGGGGAGGGGAGGGAGGGGAGGGGGGGGAGGGGGAGGAGGAGGAGGGGGGGAGGGGAGGAGGGGGAGGGAGGGGAGGGGAGGGGAGGGGAGGAGGGGAGGGGAGGGGAGGGGGGGAGGGGGAGGGGGGGGGGGGAGGGGAGGGTCCCTTATCTCCAATCAGTTCCCAGAGCTCTCCTCACTGATCTGTGCAGACTGTAATTTCAGCTCTCCGTCCCTTTTTTCTGAACCCTCAGACAAGCTTTGCAAATTCAGCACTTTGAACAGATGTAGAGATGAGAAGACTGCAGATAGACAGGTACAACTTATGTAGGAGGATTTGTTTAAGCTCTGTGTATCACCTGAGGCCAGTCACTTCTTGGAGTAGATGTAAGGGTTTACAACCAATTTAAATGTGCTGAAACGTTTAATCCATGGACAACTCAATTTTTACCCTAAAAGAACAACGTAACAATGTGATGCGGAAGCTGACTGGTGCACAGGGAAGTAAGGGGTTACCATATGCTGCAGGGGAGAGGAAAGCACTTATATTTAATTTAGGACACAGCCGGCGTTGTCTCCTCTCATTCTTATATGCAAGTGCAAAGTTATAAATATTCATTGTCCTGTGCTGCCGTCTGCAGAAAGGAAAGCAGTTTCTTAATATAATTGCTGTGAAAATACTGGAAATAAGCAACAATTCCAGACAGATTATTCCTTGTATTGTCATTTTTACTCTAACGAGCTGAAAAAATATATGGGTAGCTCTGCAGGTTTACTGCGCTAGTCAACATTTCGTGTATGTTATTACACCAATAGTAGATTTACATTTATATCATAGGTGAGCTGGAGGACTTTTCAATGAAGAAGCTCCAATTAATAGGGAGAAGAATGCAGCATTCAAATGAACAACGTATGTGGAGGAAGGCTACATCCAAGGTGGGTCACATGAGCCATGGTTTACAGGTGATGTGCCAGAACGCTACTTGACATAATCCAGCTATTAGGGGGTTAAAAGCTGACTGTACACAAATCAATATTTCAGTTTTGAGAGTCTGCTGGAGCTGCCTTTTCTATAATGCAGGGTTTAAAAAAAAAAAAAAAGAATGGGGAATTGAAGGAGCTTTCATTATGGTGGAGCTTCTACAAAAGGCCATCATCACTGAGGTTTGCCAGCTGAGTGGTGCTGCAATGTAACTCACAAGATAAGGAGAATACTTTTAGTTTACAGAGATGTAAAAAAAAAAACCCCAAAAAAAAAACAAAAACCCTGAAACCTTCTGTAACAGTGTTGAATAGCAAGCTGGTGAATTTGGTAGAGAATCTGCAGCTGGGCCCAGGTTGTGCTGATGAGAAAGATCATAGAAGACCTCTCACTGCAATTTCGAGTGACCTGCCTAAGATCTGCCTGACCTTGAAACTATTGTGAAATGCTGCCATCTGATGATCAGTTCTTCGAACTCACATGACTATGTGCAGTGAGTTCTTTTTCTAATGCAATTAATGAATATCAATGGCAAAATAGATTTAGCCTGGCAAAAAAGCATCACCCAAGGGTGCAAGTGTCACAAGAGATGTTCAAAGCATATGGTCACCCTAAGAGTGGACCCAAAAGGGATATGAGAATTCTTTCCTGCAGGGGCTCTATCTGAATGGGGTTTGCATACTTGCATGGATTTTGCCCTTTTTCTGGTCTCCTCCAAAAAGCCGAAATACACCAAAACTCGTCATTGCATGCATATCTATGTTAGATACATAAGAGTGTGCTGGGTGTTCCTGGTCACACCCTGACCACCCCGTGTGCCACTGGAGGAGCTTTGGCAATTGTAACAAGTCCATGTGCCTGTCACATGGACAACTAAACAACCTGTGATCCCTGTGATCTGAAAATAATCTTTAGCCACTTGGAGTATCTTAACGTGCAGTGGAAGCAGCAGGTGGTAGCAGGGGGATCTTGGTCAACTTCAGGGCCCCCTTCACATCAGGGCCCACAAGCTTCAAGCTGCACCTCTGCGTGCCCATTAGCATAATCGCTCTGCGTATCGGTGGGGAGATGTGAAAGATCTCCCTCTGTCCTATTATACCATAAGAGAAGTGCTTTCACACTTTCATTCACTGTGCTAGTGGAAGGATGACAAAGATCTCCCACTGAACGGCTCTATAAACGGAGAAAGAAGTGTAGAAGCAACTTCTCTTTCACTCTGAATCTGCAGACAAGGAGATAATTTGCCGGCAGGGAGATCAGAAAGATCTCCTCTCTGACCAGCAGAGTGCCACAAGGGAGTGTGTGGTACTGGCTTTACAACAGGATGCCTGCCAGAAGCTTACGTGACCATACACCAGACTCCCTGATTGGTTAGAAAGCCATTATCACAGCTTACGTCCATACTGATGCAGTGCAGGTATATTATCACTGAAACATTTCATTTAATTTTTTTTATTGTAACCTGCCTAGACTTCAGATTGTCATAATAGGGGTTGTTTCACAAGACAGGCAATTATGGACAATTGTGTATATATATATATATATATCTATAAGATATATCTATAGATATATCTATAGATCTCTCTCTCATACATCTCTCTCTATCTATCTATCTATCTATATATATGCATAGCAGCTTACCAATCATTAAATGGGGTGGCTGCATTAGTTTTCTTTAAGGCTTTTTCTCCCCTCTTTTCTCTGGACAGTAACACATCTCCTGTATTAGAGTGACTACACTCTGTGTGAAGGAGCACAGGGACATCTTTGGACAGCAGCATTGTCATCTAGGAAGAGGGGAGTGTTTGATATACTAGCAGATTTAACAAACTCCAGCTCACACTTTAAAAGCAGTTACAGCAAATATTTTGTTTCTCCTTTTGGGATAAAGGTTTTACATAAATAAAAGCTTATTATAAATTATTGTAAGCACCTCTGTCAGTGTTAAATGGTTTGTCTCCCCTCCAACCCTCCTCCACATATCAACACTGCATTTGCCCTCTCTGCCCACCCTTTTTCCTGGCCCTGATTCTTCCCCATGCTATCCAACATTGGGAAAATATTGCCTGAATTTCTGCTTAGTTCACCCATAGATATCATTGGATGACTGACCTATGAAGTTCTGATATAACATCAGTGTATCTTACAATAAAAAAGTTATAGTTGCTGATTATTAAAATATTAAATAATATACAGATCACCATTTGAAATACTGAGATTTTTTAAAAAAAGGTCTAAAATCAGCAATGCCAATGGGAATCATTCTGTCTCTTCATGAAGAATGAAGTAAAGAAAGAAGAAAAAAAAAAGAAAAAAAAAGAAAAATGAAAGCCAATTGGTTGAATTTGCTACATAGACGCTGGCTATATGGTATAAAATGTTTCAAGAAATACACAAATCTATCACAAGTTAAAGCGGACAGTCTTTTAAAGAAAATCCTGTGACGTGACTAGACATTACGTAAAATAAGTCTCTAAGAAATTTGTCCCTGAAGCAATTACAAGGACTCCTCACTTCCAAATTGTTGTGAAGAGTTTAGAACTTGGCAATTCAGTTATGTCCTTCGGGCTTTGTCAGCTCACATCTAAAGTTAATACAAAATAAATGGCTTGGGGAATACAGAGTGGCAGGAAACAGACACCTATCGGGAAGTTTCATGCACAATATAAGAGATACACCAAGGTGTGCGATTGTTGGGACATTGCAGATTACTTCCACTGGGGCAGGGTATGTGGAAGGGTCTATGCTCTCCTTAAAGTGACCCTGTCCCTATACAAAAGTAGCTTTATCAAGGCATACCTGTAAAACAAGTCAGATAATATTTACCTTTCCCACTATCTGCTATTCTAATCTTAAACCTGAACAGAAGGTACACAGGCTGGATTACTAAAGATTTTGAAGCTTTTTTTGGCATGTTTCACAAGTTTTATGTAAGTGTTTTTTGCAAGTGTATCAAGCTTTGAGGCTCCATGCACACGGGGTGTTTTGATAACACTGGTAACGTTAGCTGTGTAAAGTCACGTTAAAAACTTGAGTTTTTCAGATTTTTTTTAGCATCTTTGCATTAGTGTTTAGCTGAATTTTTCCACGTTTGCGGTTTTAGCGGTTTTTTGGGGGGGTCAAAAAACGTCCAAAAACGCCGGGTTTGCAACATTTTACCGAGTTTTTCAGCATTAGAGCGTTTTTATAGCTAAAAACTTCTCTAGAAACCCACTAGTCCTGGGTTTTTTTTCCAGCCAAAAAATGTTGATTACACTATGTGTGCATGCATACATAGGATAACATGCTGGGGAGTTTACTGGCTGTAGAAAAAAAAAAACGTCAAAAGCCAAAAACAGCAGCTGTAAAAATGTCCAGTGTGCATGAGGACTAAAGGCTAGGTTCACATACGTGTGGGTGGTGCTGCTGTGGATCCACACGAAAATCCGTGCATCCGCACCACCCGCACAGAGGAATGCGGACCCGCGGGCAGGTGCCATTAGTTCTAATGGCACGCCACCCGCACTGGAAAACACAACCAAACAGGGAACCGAGGTTCCCGTTCCGGCTGCGTTTTCAGAAATGCAGGGACTTCTTCCCTGCGTGTCACGGGGCACTGGAGTCCATTCAAATGAATGGGCTCTCGTGCCCGCACAAAACACATCCTGCACGGCCACATATATGTGAACCAGGGGTCAGTGTTTGTTTGCTGGGCAAGGGGAAGAGCAGTTCTAGAGGTGAACAGGGTTTTTTCAAGTGCAAAAATGCATACAAAATGCATGTGTGACATATTTACAGGTGTACCCATCAAAGTCTATGTGGGAAAAAATGTCTGAATATGAAAAAAAGAGTGTACAGCGACTGAGTGTAGAAGTGTGTACAGGGACAATTAGAAAATAATGGGATTCTATATGTTCAACATAGTCAGGTGTAGGGAAACAAGCCAATATGTGTGTGTGAAACAGCTGATAAAGCCTGCAGTAAAACCACTGTTTCAGGGGGGTGTCCAACACCTGAGCTCCCGCAGAGCTCACTAGTTCCTTGTAATGAGCTTCATATCATTCTGCTGTAATGTGGAAGTCAGCAGAACCAGTGAGCATTCTGAAGGTAAGAGACAATAGACACGCCTAGAAAAGATGATGGAATTTGTAATTTTGCACATTCCCGCAACTACTGTGGATATAAAAAGGATAGAGGAAAGATCAAAATGCATCATAAAGGGTCAAACATGAATCAGTTGCAATATATTAGCATATTATAGTTATCAGCATGTTAATGCAAAGTCATTTTGTACACGGTCTCAGTCTGTATTATCGGCAAAGCATATCTACTGCATAATCTACAATAATAAACGTTACAGAAAATGCTCCTAGGATGCTTTACTACTAAAAACAAAACAAAACAAAAAAAAAAAAGTGGGTTAGCTTGGAGGCAATGACAGTCATCAAGCTTCAGTAGGTATCCCTGTTATGGATTCCATTAAGTTAATGTTAAGATGACACCAAATACTCAGGAGACCATAGTATACACAGGCAAAAATTCCCAGTAATTGCCCATTTTGGAATTTCCCTTTAAGTTCTCCTGGTGGTCTAAAGCAGTGTTTCTCAACCTTTTTTCAGTCAAGGCACCCTTTAAAATGGACAGTTCCGAGGCACCCTATAAAATTAAGAAAAGTCTTGAGGCACCCCATTCTAAAATGTGAAACACTATTCTAATAGTTTCATATAACACAGCAACATCCACACATGTAGGACACCCAACATTAGAGGTGATTTATTCTTCCAAAGCAAATACACTTCTGCACACTGGTGCTGATTATATTCCATTGTTTCTCTTCTCCCTCAGTTTTTCTCCATCACTGAGCTAATGTGACCCCAGCACTGATGGAGAGGGGCAGGCAAGGGTCAAACTAGGATGCTGTGCAGGCGGCTGACAACCTCCTTATCAACTGATGATGCTATTGGTTGTCAGGACGCCTGCAGCTAGAAGGTCGTAATGGTGCACAATGAAAACCTGTGGCTTTGTATAACTTAAAGGCAGGCTTATTCCACCCACTGGCTTGTATACAAGTTTTGGGCAATTTTTGGACATTTTGCCAAAGCAACCATGAAGAAACCTCAAGGCACCCTGGTTGAGAAAGGCTGGTCTAAAGGAGATGTAAGCACACTCTTGCCCAAGATATTTAGATACCTTCAAAATCAAGCACTTTGTCACTTTCCAATCATGCAGACACCAACACTTACAACCCTGAAAAGTTTCTTCTAGCCATATGTATTAGTTCTCATAACATTTCTCTTCATTGACTTCAAAAAACGACTTCACAAATCAAATATCTTAAAGTGGGAAGCTCAGACACCAAATACGCCCCATTTATCTAAATTTTTTAAAGATTACAGGAAAAAAGGGGCTATTTAAACACCACTGAAGGGACGACCCGAGATCTAAGTGGTTCTGGAAAAGGGTTGCCAAATAGCTTTATACAACCTTTGTTGCGTAACAGAAAAAAAAAAAAAAATTAAACAAGGACCTGCTTCCCCAAATCTTCACCATGGCCAAAACAAACCTTTGCTTGGAAAAACCCAACTCTTTGCACTCAAGGGAATACATGAGATCGCCATGGCATAAGAAGTGACAAATTGTCAGCTACCCTCAACAATGAAGTCTATAAATTTTGAAAGATATTAGTGACCTGCATTAATGACTTTGGAAGTGCCACCAGCTATTCCCATGGAACAAATATGTCGCTCCTAAATGAGTTCTAGTGACACTGACTCCACCTCTTTTTTTCTTTCCTCTACCGTCTTCTTTTCTTACACATTTATTTTCTCCTCTTAATACGCTTCTGGCTGTAAGTCAGCAGGATTTTGGCTAATAAATAAGGTCTCCCATAGATCAGGTGCTTCTGTATTCTTAAAATAGGTTTGATATTGTGACCTGGACAAGAACCATCTGGGACCCCCAGTTTGCGGTCAGTTAAACATTAAATGTCATAGGGCGCACTTTATTTCTTCTGCTCACTGGTTAAAGTCCCTTGTGGGATGATACTTTTAGCACATTTTCATTTTTACATTTGCCTGTTTTTTTTTTTGTTTTTTTTTTACAAAAAAACATTTAAACCAGAAAGCTTTAGTAAAAGATGCCTAATGGCTAGCACTGTAGTTAACAGCACTGTGGGCTTGCTTTAGGTACACATTTTCTACCTGTCTTTGAGTGGATTTCTTTCTCATGCTCCCGATTCTTTCTACAATACAAAAACATGCTGGTAGGTTAATCGGCTTAGTCCGAATCCATAGGACTGTGGTAGGGACACCAGACAGTAGGATTTGTCAGGGATAGGTACTAATGTGAAGGGCTGAATATACAACAAATATAGAAGCAGACAAAATGCCTACATAATAATACAGCTGAGGAGTCTGTGTGTACATGAGACAACATGCTGCCAATGTGCCTACTGGAAATACATAATACTGAAAAGAAGAGATCATGAGAATCCCATCCAGCATATACAAGATGTTATGTATTGTCTATACAAAGTCACATGCAGAACTGTTATTATTTAAATTGCTTGTAAAGTCAAATGATAATTTAGATCTTCTCTTTAAAGTTGCAGATCCACGTGAAAAAATACTAAGCCTTCTTGAAGATTTGTTATGGTATGATACACTCCACAAACGTGTATGTATATTTTGCTTATGTTATTAACAGACATTTTCTAAACCATAAGTTGTGCTAGGCTTACTGCACCTCTCAGACCTATGATAAAACCTGTACTTACAAAGGGATTTCCTGGGTGTTGGCTTTTTAGGGATATTTTAAATCTAGTGGTTTGTGTCCCTGCCCAGTATTCATCACCCACGTGTTAGAAATGCAGGAACTACAAAGAGCACTATATTTAAAATTGAACTCCAGGCACAAACACTCGCATTGACATTTATTCCTCAATACATCAGTCACAAAAAAAATATACAGTACTGTGCTAGTTTTAGGCAGGTGTGAAGAACTGCTGTAAAGCAAGACTGATTTCAAAAAATATATATTTTGTTTATTTTTTTTTTTATCAATTTACAAAATGCTAAGTGAGGAAACAGAAGAAAAATCTAAATTAAATCAATATTTGGTGTGACTACCCTTTGGCTTCAAACCAGAATCAATTCTTGCCCTCGCACAAAGTCAGGGATTTTGTAGGGTTACAGTCAGTACACACTGAATTTGACTTTGAAATCGTGCAACCTCTCGAAGTTGCATGATTTCAAAGCCGCATGTCAGTGCAACATCAAGTGTGACTTGGCTGACATCTGTTTGACTTCATGCATGAAAGTCACACCTGAAATCACAAAAAATAGTGCAGGAACCTTCCCCCCCCCAAAGTTGGAGTTATACCGATTTGAACAATTTCATTGCAGACAATAAGTTGGGACTTGAAACTGTCAAATCGCAAGACAAGTTGCACCGGTGTGAACTAGGGCTTAGAGTCAGGTTGAATGATTAACCAATTATACCAAGCATGCTCATAACCAATTTCATATGTAGGTTGAAACGCATTTATAAACGTAAAAAAGAAACAGCTGTGTAGATTTAAACCTGGGTGAGGAAAACTCAAACTCTGCTACTAACGTGAGGCTGGAAGACCGTTTCATGTCACCGGTCATACACCATGGCAAGACTGAGCACTGCAACAAGACACAAGGTAGTTCAGCAAGGTCTCTCCCAGGTAAAGATTTCAAAGCAGACTTGGTTTTCAAGATATGCTGTTCAAGCTATTTTGTAGAAGCACAAAGAAATGGGTAACGTTGAGGACCATAGACTCAGTGGTCTGCCAATGAAACAATGCAGCAGATCAAAAACACCTACTTCCCTTCAACATCTGAAGATGTCCACCATAGCCATCAACACAGAACTGACAGAAACCAGTGGGACCCAGGAACACCCATCTACTGTCCAGAGAATTCTGCCCAGAAGTGGTCTTCATGGAAGGATTGTAGAAAAAAGCCATACCTCCTTTGCTTATCACAGAGTTCAACTTCAACAATTAAACTTATGTGAAGAATATAGAGATAAATAACAGGGGCTGTAGACCTGTGGCCATAAACCAAACGAAAGATGAAGGAACCTGGTAATGTAAACAGCACATTTACCAGTGCAGTGTAAAACACAATTTAGACATGTAAAGCTAAACACAAGGCAGAAATTAAAAAAACAAAAACACCAATGGATGTAGTTATGTATCTAAAAAAAATGTATTATAGGTTCAACCTCAGGCAGGAAAAAAAAAAATTACCCTTGAAGTGGGGCCTCCCACTTTACAATGGTTAAATGGTAGGGGTAGTCTAGGGGTAAAGGAAAAAGGTAGAATACTTACCAGATTTCTTGCTCCAGCAGGCTGCCTCCATCTGTGCAACAGATTCCCTGAAGTCTCTTCTTTAAGACACTCTGGCTGGCAATCACACAATGACGTCATGAAGTACAATGTAGGGTCAATAATCCTGCATTGTATTACCAGCGAGGGTCTGCCCACAACACATAGTATTGGAAAGAAGAGGAGAGCGTCAGAGTCTGCCGAAGCAATGAATAAGGCATGTATTACATCTTATTCCTTTACCCATAGCCCTTATGGACATTTAACCCTTTCAGAGCAGGGGGGACCGTAAAGCAGCACACAGACTAA